AGATACGACAGCGAGCGGCAGGACTGACATCTGTACACGGGCCAGGCTGGAAACTCGCACTCATAAAAGCAGGGAAGAACACATTAGCGCGATCATTAGGTGCATTACTGCAGTCTGACTGTATGTTTTTCTTTTTTTTGCCATTTGAACAGGTCTGGATTCCATAATTACTGTGCGAGCCAGACGAAAACATCTTAATGTTTCTGCCTCTGCCGACAGACAGACTCTCAGAAGACTGAATCTGAATCGAATTTTAGGATGGTTCAAAGTCCTCTAATGATTTGGCAAAAGCAGCTCGCGTCCTGAAACAAAAGCGTTTTTTTTGCTTCTTTAATTAAAGCACATGACCGAATGTTCTGCTCAAGTGGGGTCGATTTCATGCATGTTTTTATGAGACATAGCGTTCATTCCTGCAGTCAACTTGTTTTGACATTAATATATTTCAGGATTGTGCATGTGAAGATTTGCAGACACTGTGTTTGATTCTAGAAATGTGAGTTTTCCAGACATCCGGGAACATTTAGTCTCATTCTCATACTGTGATTTAGACTACAGATTAGTGTGAGGTTTCTGATATTAAAGAGGTCATGAAACGGAGAATCAACATGTTCTTCATATTTACACATGAGAGGTTACTCATGCGATCATTTTTGGTGCAGAAACTTTGCAAACTTTAAAACTAATCTCGAGAAACACTGTGTACAAACCCGAAAATGCATTTCATGAGCCGTATGCACTTAATGATTCTGCATTATAAATGTTTGTATTTTCCTCAGAACAAGTGAAGGTTTCTGCAGCACATGTTTGGCATGGTCTGAGGATTCTTTCATGTCTGAAGCCCTAAAAATGTTATGAGCACGTTATATTTTTAGGGGACTGTCCTAAATGATGCATGAAAACAAAAGAATCAGAGAGAGCGCGAGAGAGAGCGCGAGAGAGAGCGCGAGAGCGAGCGCGAGAGCGAGAGAGAGAGAGCGAGAGAGAGAGCGAGAGCGAGAGAGAGAGAGAGGGAGGGAGGGAGGATGTGCTTACGTTCTCATAGAGCGCCTGTAACGTCTCCAGATCAACCACAGTGTTATCCAGATTCAGGATCGCTGCACACACACACACACACACACACACATTAGACAGGAATCAGCAGCTGAAGCGGATTTAAAAAACAGTTATCAGACTAAGTAGCCTCATATCCCTTTAAAGTTCAACATTAATGAATAAAATAATTGAAATTAAATTCATATCTAATATTCATAAATATTTATTAGCAAAATTAATATACGCAAAAACAATAAAAATTAACAGGGCTGAGTTTTATGGTTCATTTAGAGATTAATAGTTTTTGGTTGCAGATCATGACAAGAATATTATTAGAAAATGTAAAGCTTTTAACAATATTTGACAAATGGTAACAGGCTTGATTATTTAAGGATGCAAAATAAAAGAAAAAAATAATCTTTTTTTTTCCTTTTTATTTTTAACAACATTTTACAAATGGCAACAGGCTTGATTATTTAAAGATAAAATAAAAAAAATCAAAATCAAATCAATTTTTTTTATAATTTTTCACTTTTATTTTAACAACATTTTACAAATGGCAACAGGGTTGATTATTTAAAGATTAAAAAAAAATCCTTTTTGTTTTTAAACGCATAAAAAAAAAA